GTGGACTATATATATAGGCCTTAGACCAGAGACACTGCACTTGCTAGAAGAAAAATAGGCTTAACTCTCCAACATGTAGCTTGGGAACTGCATTCCTCAATAAGACTCCTAAAGAGCAAGAAGTAAAACCAAGAGTCAATAAATGGGATGATATCAAACTGAAAAGCTTCTTTATAGCAAAGGACACCATCAAGAACATGTACAGATAGATATCTTAAAGATTGGAATAAAATCTTCACCATCAGTATGTCAGTATTTTTAAAGTAAGTCAAAACCAGTGAAACAGATTATATAAAACAAAGAGCAAAAGGAGCTGAATAACTTATAAAACAATTAGTAAGATGACAGGCTTTAAACCAAATATATTTTAATTACCTTCAGTGTGTGTGATCTAAATATATCAACTAAAAGACAATAAGATATGATTAAAAGTAAAGGCATAGAGAAAGATATTGAAAAAAAAAAACACCAAAAAATCCTGAAGAAATGTTAATTTTGAACAGAGTACATAATGGAAACATGATCTATCAGAGGTAAAGAGAAAATTATACAATCATCAAAAGATTTATTTTCTGAGAAATCCTAACTAACCTAAATTACATGGTCCTAGTGATGTTATAAAGATATATACCATCCCTTTGCTCAACCTTCTGGTAAGTACATGTTTGTTTGTTTGTTTGTTTTTGTACTGGGTATTGAACTCAGGGGTACCCAACAACTGAGCCATATCCCCAGCCCTATTGTGTATTTTATTTAGAGATAAAGTCTCACTGAGTTGCTTAGTGCCTCGCTTTGGCTGAAGCTGGCTTTGAACTCATGACCCTCTTGCCTCAGTCTCCTGAGCCACTGTGATTACAGGCATGCACCACTGTGCCTGGCAGGGTGTTTTCTTGTTTGTTAAATATTTACTATTCTTAGTGAAGCTCATTGAGGAACTTAGAAGTAAACCTAGCTTTCAGCATACATGTACCCCAAAAAAGGTGTTTTTAAAAATTATATAAAAGTAGGGGAAAATTACAGGATTTTTGACTGTACTCTTGAAAAACATTTAACTTGAAATGAAAGAAAGTTCTACAGGTCTGTAATTTTCTAGAAAACTCACATTAGACAAGAATACTTGAAGCTCACACAGACACACACTTCTTCCCTGAAGAACATGATAAAACACTGTGTGGGAATTGGTGAGAATCATTTCTTAACATGGGAACGAGAACTACAGCTTTCTTCTCAGGTTATAAAGATGGGAAAAAGAAACTGAGACTGCATAAACAGCACTTCTCAGTCATTAAAAACTCTGTGGTGAATAGGATTTGAACTACATGCTATAGAAGAGTCTTTTTTTTTTTTTTTGAAAAGTGTTTATAATCCAGTTGTAGAGTTGCTCAATAACTTCGATATAAAAGGATGCTAACTGGTGAGTTGATTACTTTGGTATGCATCAAGTGTTCACTTTCTATAAAGAAGCAAAGCTCTGGGAGAAAATAAATGAACCTTTGAAATATAACGTACATCTAGTTTTACTTATATTTGAGCCTGAAAATACTCAGGACTAATTTGGCTCTCTAGAGACTATGATTAACGACTTTTCAAAAATCAAGTACTCCTGCTTCAAATTTTTATTTTTCATTATGGGGTGACTTTCTGTAAATTATTTTGATTCAGTGATGTGACAGTAGTTACAAACCGATATGCATTTTGTGTTTGCATATGTATACAAACTATATGCATAAATTGGGAAAAACAGAAAATAAAGGATCAGTAACACTGGGCAAAGATGCCAAGTCAAAAGTCACAGGAAATAATTTAAATAGTAAGGGATGATTGTAATTTCAGTGAAGAGAGAACAGAAAAGATTTAAAAAAAAGAACATTTCTTTCTTTCTTACCATTACTTGAATAAATATGTGATATTTGTTGAAAATATCCTTTCACTTCTGTGTTAAGAAAACATACTTTTTTGCATCTCATTTTCAAACAGTGTCAGAAATTCTAGAGACTAAGATTAAGAGAACATGAAGTTCCAGGAGATGCTGAGTGTCCAATAGTGGTGGGATATCATATTCTAGAAAAATAAGATCAATATCAGAATGATGCTCTCCAGTTTATCGGGGACCTCAGGTAAAGAGTAACATGTTTTCACAATTCTAAAGAGGTAATAGACCTGGACCAAGAAGAATACATCTGGAATTATGCAAAGCACAACATTTTGGGAAGGATTATTAGAGATTGTTGAAGCTGGTTCCCTTCTATTACAAAGAGGAAACTTATGGGCAAGAATATCAGGTCACATCCCCAAGTGTCTGTGAGAACTGGCATTCCAGTCAAGCTTGAGAAAATAAGGGCTTATTGCCTCCCGGGGAAGTGTGTGAGCTGGGCATCTGTTATTTCTACAGTTGGCTTCTCTATCTAAGAACCCTGAACTGGATTGGCTTTTTATTTTTTTTTTCAGGGAAATTTGGATGACTAGAGTGGAACACTGACTGAAATTCAGGAGGTAGCCTGGGTTTGCCTCAGACTTGGACTTTTATGCACATTTCAAAAATAGGAGAGGCAGAGGTACTGTCCAATTTATCCTGTTGCTATACAGTTTGTTTGTTTTTGAACTTGTGACAGGACCCATAGTGACATGTGTATGAGCTCAGGTTCCAAGGTCAGAAAATTCATGTTTTAAGACCAGAACATGGGTTGTGTTACTATGTATATGTTTCTTCACCTGTATAAACCTAAAGTAATTTTTATCTCTTTTATTTTGTGATGCATTAATGTTAGCACAATGAAATCATCCATGCACTATTTTATTTTTTAAACACTCTTTTCCATGTATTATTGAGTCTCAGAGCAAACCTCTAATTATTCAGTTACATATATTTTCATATATTTAAAATGAATAAAATCTTTTAACAAAGAAATTATAAAATTTGCAAACATCAAATCTACAATTAATGACTGAATTAAGTCATGTAACTGGCGATTGTCTCTAAATTATAATGAATTATTATATTGTAATAAAACTTGAGCTTATTATAATTTTGCCCATAAATTACTCATTGTAGTAGTAAAACATAAAAAATAGAAAAATTGTCTGGTAGTGAAATTAATCACCAGCCTCCACCTTCTGAATAGAGGTGACTTGATTACCTGAATCAATGAAGATCAATGAAGACATCTCATGATCAATGAAAATCAGATAATATACCCAATATTTGATTTTTCTTCAAATGAAAGAAAATAGCTTTTCTTATTTAATGGAAAATATTGCTGTAGTTCAACTTTGGGCTGGATTAAAACCAATTTCTCTAAAATGTGCCTCTTATCTAATTATGTTCCTGAAAATTTTATGTGAAAATGGATGTATTTATCTTGAAATTCAACTTCCATTACAAATGAATTATTCATTGTGTTGGTAACAATATTTACTTTGTACCATGGAGAATTATGGAGAAATTTTACATAGAGTTTGATTAAGAAATTAAGTTTAAGATTAGGGTAGGAAAAAAAAGTTATTTTGAGATCATCTGGTAAGAATTAATAATAAACATTTTAATTTAAAATAGTAGAGACCAAAATTGATGGAACATGATAATAATTCTGTGTCAGTTTTCAGCAACAAGGTCTTTGCTACTACAAAAATCTTAGCTCATAGGATCAAATCCTTTTACTTTGAAATGATTTTCACTGGTTGGTGATGCTAAGCACACTACTCCGATATTTTCATTGATTTAGAATTGAAATTTCCCACTTTTGTGAAAAAAGGAAAATTGAGAGTTTGAGTAACATTAAACTCAAAATGTTTCAACCTTCTTAAATGTTATTGTATACACTCAGAATAAAATTTATCAAATCATTACTCCCAATATTTCAATAATAATGTGTGTACAAATATTACTATAAATTACAAAGCAGCTTCACATTCCATTATTATTTAAATGTCACAAATATACATATTGCACAAGGCATGTAATTCCCTGTTATTTGTACTCAAACAGATGAAATAGTTGACATGCAAAGTAAAGGCATATTATGTTATTGTGCTAAAAACAGAGCCTGCCCAATCAATCAGTCTCCCTGTAAACAACAATTCTGTATGGATTTGTCACTGTCTGGAGAGTTTGTGAGACTAGACAAAATGATTGTACTGGATGAATTCAGAAAAAATACATACCCTCCAATCCCAAGGTTAAAAGGAATTTTACTTCCAAAATATACTATCCTGCACTGAGGGCAAATTTTAGTATAACATTTCCCAAAGCATAGTCTTTTCAGGGACTTCTTCTTAGGTTTATTTGGTGGTTCGTGAGATTTTGTTGTTCTCCTTGAATTAATTAGCAAATTAAGCTATTCTGTGTTTTAAAGTGTCAGCACATAATTTTCAGGAAATCATTGAGAAAACCAATAACAAGGAAACAAATAGCAAACATATTTCAAAAGGCTTGCTTCAGCTTCTTAATGAGAGAGCATTGCATTTTAAAATATTTTCCTGTAAATTTGCTTAGTTTTTAAGCTAACTAACTGTAAGACAGAGTTGAGATAATGTGTATTCAACTAACAAAATCAGTTAAATTAGTTGGTACATAATGAAAAACATATTAGCTATGTGACATATACTTGTTTCCTTAATGCATTTTGAGTCCCAGAAAGTCAGAGCAGCATTTTTTACAGGGATAAACTGACTATTTTATTAAGATTTAGGAGTAGATATGATCAAAAATAAAATAATAATATTGTTTGAACAAAAGCTTTGGTGCTCACTAAGGCAAGAGTTGATCACCATTTGCAGAAGAAGTATCCGAAATCAAGCAGTATGTATTCACAGGGAGTCTTGAGAGCCATTTTAATTGAACACCAGGTTTTTATTCTTTGAGATGCCATAATGAAATAAATTACATCTAGTTAGTGCATCAAGTAGAAAATAACCATCACACTTTTCATCAAACACTTATAGATTTAAGCTCACCAGTTATGTCATTTCAGGTGATTTATTTGCTCTATCTAAACTGGACCATGGAAAAAAGCAATAATCTCACTGTATTTATTCTCCTGGGACTTTCCCACAATAAGAACATGGAAGTCCTCTGCTTTGTATTATTTTTACTTTGCTACCTTGCCATTTGGATGGGAAATGTGCTTGTAATTGTTTCTATCACATGCTCGCAGCTCATCAGCCAGCCCATGTATTTCTTCCTCTGGCTCTCTGACCTTTGCTACACATCCACAGTGACCCCTAAATTAATGACTGGCTTACTGGCTGAACAGAAGATCATTTCCTATAATTACTGCATGGAACAGCTGTTTACCACCCATTTATTTGGAGGCATCGAGATCTTCATCCTCACGGGGATGGCCTATGACCGCTATGTGGCCATCTGCAAGCCCCTGCATTATACTGCCATCATGAGCAGACAGAGGTGCAACACGATCATCCTGGCGTGCTGTGCTGGGGGATTTGCACACTCTGCCAGTCAGTTTCTTCTTACCATCTTCTTACCCTTCTGTGGCCCCAATGAGATAGATCATTACTTCTGTGATGTGTATCCTTTGCTGAAATTGGCCTGTTCTAATACACACACGATAGGTCTCTTAGTCATTGCTAACTCGGGGTTAATTGCACTGGTGACTTTTGGTGTCTTGATGTTCTCTTATTTTTGTATATTGTACACACTGAGGGGATGCTCCAGGGAGGGTCGCAGCAAAGCTCTTTCCACTTGCAGTGCCCACATCACTGTCGTGGTCCTGTTTTTTGCACCCACATTATTCATCTACATCAGGCCAGCCACGACATTCCCAGAAGACAAAGTGTTTGCTCTTTTCTACACCATCATCGCTCCCATGTTCAACCCTCTGATCTACACGCTGAGAAACACAGAATGAAGGATGCTCTGAGGAAAGTTTGGTGTCATCTAACACTTCTGAAAGAAAGTAAACTTGTGGATTATTTCTGCTTTTCATGGCATGGTACCATGAGAGCACAACCTTACGTGAGACCCACAAATCCTCCAGTCCTCAGGACTTGGAGAAAAAAGTGATCAAACAAGGTATATGTCCAATCTGTTGTTTTATGATTCTGCCCTGATTCATCATTTATTATTTCTGCCTGTTGTTCTATTGGCCACCATTTGGCTGCCTCTTTACATGGTCACTTCTTGGTGTGAGCACATCTCTGGTGGTCTCTCTGAAAGTTAAAATGGCATTGAGATCTTAGGATGCAGCAAGGCAGAGCCTGGGGAAGCTGAAGCCCAGGTCTGTCAGATTGCATCTGGGATTGCGTGAGTCAGTCAGGGTCTGGCAGACCTATGGGAAGCTAGAGAATAGGGGCAATGCCACAGAGGAAATATAGGTTAGAGAAACTGGAAAAAACTGGGCTCTCTCCAGCTCAGTGAGTCTTAAAGTCCATGGAAATATAAGGGGCCAGCTACAATGGGTGGAAAGACTGGAAGAGGGTGTGAGAACTTCTTGCTATCTATCAGCTCATCCAGCCAAATGGTCTGGCACCCATTGGACTGGAGCTAACATGAAACTTCAGATAAACCCACATATCCATGGAGAAGGGAAGCTGAGAAAACGTTTGAGAGTTAACAGAAGCAATTGCTCAACTTTCCATTGAGACTTTCTTTTATTTTTATTTATTATTTTCAAATTTTATTTATTTTTTATTTTTTAAATTTTTCCCCGTCTCTCACACTTCTAAGAATTTTGAATCAAATATTTTTCACACATCATTTTATTGAGGAAAAGGATATCTGAATAATATGCTACAGTTTTGTTATATATTCTTATATTTTTACTTTTTTAAAAAAAATCTATCTCTATATTTTTTCTCTCCTATCTGTCTCCCTGGATTCTCTTTCTCACTGCTCTCATACTAACATTCAACCTCTATTAATTCCTTTCTTGCTCTTACTATAAATGTTTTCCTCTATCTTCTACCCTCCTTCATGAATATCACATCTGAAACTATGTCTGTTCCCTCATTATCCATCATTATAAATGGTAAACCCTTGTAGTAAACTTACTATTATATTGTTAATAATCAAAGATATCATTTTTGTCTATTGTGATAAAACTGTATATGACTTAATAGGAGCTATTTGGTTTCAGGTTGTATATTGTTTCATTGGGTGCTCTTAATACTGGTCTCCCTTTTAAAGGTGACATACTGGAAGCCTTTGGGGACATTATAAAACTTCAGGATAGAAGCTGTGCTGCCTCAAATCCATACCACTAGACTAGATCGGAAGATGCACACACAACAGGAAAAAATAATGGAACAAAGCACTTAAAACAAACCAAGAAGTTCCAACAATAGAATTCATAGATAGACAATGCAGTCAAAGACATGTCAGAGAAGGAGTTCAGGAAATACATAGTTAGACTGATCTTTGAAATACAGGATATCAGAGAGAAAACCCAGGAAGTAAAAGATCAATTTATAAAGAGGCAAAGATTATACAAAAACAATCAAGCAGAAATACTTGAAATGAAGAAAACAATAAACCAAATTAAAAATTGAATGGAAAGTATCACCAATAGATCATTTAGAAACATATTCAATGAAGACAAAATATATACTCTTGAAAATAAAGTTGACAGCACAGAGAAGATGGTAAGAAACCATGAACAGAACTTCCCAGAAATATGGTATAACATGAAAAGACCAAATTTAAGGTTTATTGGACTAGACAAAGGCATGGAGATACAAACCAAAGAAATGTATGATCTTTACAATGACATAATATCAGAAAATTTATAAAATATAAAGAAAGAAATGAAAAAATAACCATAAAAGGCTTACATGACCCCAAATGTACAAAATTACAGCAGACCCACACCAAGCCATATTGTAATGACAATAACAATAGAATTTTAAAAGTTACAATAGAAAAAAATAAATAAATTACATATAGGGGGAAACCAATTCAGGTTTCAGTTGATTTCTCAACCCAAATCCTCAATGCCAAGAGGTACTGGTATAACATATACTAAGCTCTGAAAGAAAATTAATGCAAACAAAGAACATTATATCCAACAAAATTAAGCTTCAGATTTTAAGATGAAATAAAAACATTCCATGATAAACAAAAGTTAACTATCAACTAGAAAGCCTACACTTACAGGACATTCTCAACAAAATATTCCATAAGGAAGAATTTTTTTTAAACAAATGAAAATCAGCAAAGGGAGGAACTACACTAAAGAAAAGGTCAATCAAAGGAGAAACTAAGTCAAGTTAAATCCAAAAATAAACAAATATGGCCATAAATACAACACATATCTCAATAAAAACCCTGAATGTTAATGACCTAAACACATCAATCAAAAGACATAGATTGGCAGATTGAATTAAAAAAAAAAAAAAGACCCAACAATATGCTGTCTTTAAGACACTCACCACATAGGAAAAGAAAATAACAGACTGAAAGTGAAAGTTTGGGGAAAAACATCACTCACATGAGCAGTGTAAATAAGCAGGGGCTTCCATTCTCATATCAGACAAAGTGGACTTCAAACCAAAGTTAGTCAGAAGGGATAAACAAGAATATTTCTTACTGCTTAAGGGAAACATATATCAACAAGACATAATGATCATGAATATATATGCCCCAAACAATGGAGCATCTATATACATAAAAAAACCCTCTCAATTTCAAGAATTGAATAGACCACAAATACAGTATTATTGGGTAACTTTAACACACCTCTCTCACCACTGTATACATCTTTCAAACCAAATCAAAACTAAACCAATTATAGAAATAAATAATAGAATCAATGACTGAGACTTAATAGACATATATAGAGTATTTCATCCTTCAGTGAGTGAATATACATTCTTCTCAGCAGCACATGGATCCTTCTCTAAAATAGACCGTATGTTATGTCATAAAGCAATTCTCAGAAAATACCAAAACAACAACAACAACAAAAAACACAAATATCTTGTCTTCTATCAGATAATAGTGGAATAAAAATAGAAATCAATCATAATCACACCTGGAGATGAAATAGTATGCTGTTGAATAAAAAGTCAACAAATAAATGACCTAACATTACATCTCAAAGCCCTAGAAAAAGAAAAACAAATCAACACCAAAAGCAGTAGAAAACAGGAAATAATTAAAATCAGAGCTAAAATCAATAAAATTGAAACAAAAGAAACAATTCAAAAAATTGTCAAAACAATAAGTTGGTTCTTTGAAAAAATAAAGAAAATTGACAAACCCTTAGTCATGCTAACAAAGTGAAGGAGAGAGATAACTCAAATTACTGAAATTTGCAATGAAAAAAGGAAATATCACAGTGGACACTACTGAAATGCAGAAGATAATTATAAACTATTTTGAAAATTTATACTCCAAAACAAAGATAGGAAACCTTAAACTTATTGACAAATTTCTAGAGTCATATGATCTACACAAACTGGATCAGGAGGAATAAAACTAGAAATTAATCATAATCACACCTGGAGATGAAATAGCATGCTGTTGAATAAAAAGTCAACAAATAAATGACCTAACATTACATCTCAAAGCCCTACAAAAAGAAAAACAAATCAACACCAAAAGCAGTAGTTTAAACAGACCAATTTCAAGCTATGAAATAGAAGATGCCATCAAAAGTCTACCAACCAAGAAAAGCCCAGGACCATACAGATTCTCAGCCAAGTTCTACAAGACCTTCAGGGAAGAATTAACACCAATACTCAAGTTAATCCATGAAAGAAAAAAAGGAGGGAACCCTTGCAAACTTATTCTACAGGGCTAGTATCACCCTGACACCAAAATCAGACAAAGACACATCGAGGAAACAAAACTTCAGACTAACGCAATAAAAACTTCAGACCTCTACAATAAAAGCTGCAAAACACAAAAGAAAGAAATTGAAGAAGACTTTAGAAGATGGAAAGATCTCCCATGCTCTTGGATAGACAGAATTAATATTCTCAAAATGGCCATACTGGGGCTGGGGTTGTGGCTTAGTGGTAGAATGTTCACCTAGCACACGTGAAGCACTGGGTTCCATCCTCAGCACCACATAAAAAATAAAATAAAGGTATTATGTTTTCATCTACAACTAAAATTAAAAAGAAATATTTGGCCATACTACCAAAATTGTTATACAGAATTAATGGAATTCGTATTAAAATCCAAATGACATTCTTCACACAACTAGAAAAAACAATCATGAACTTCATTTGAAAAATAAGAGACCCAGAATAGCAAAAGAAATCATTAGCAAGAAGAGTGGAGCAGGAGGCATCACAATTACAGACCTAAAACTCTACTATAGAGCAGTAGTAACAAAAACTCCATGGTGTTGGCAACAAAATATAAGATACAGAGAAAAACCTGGATAAATGAGGTTATCTCATACTAGACAAAAACAGCAAAAACATACATTGGAGAAAAGAGAGCTTATTCAACAAATGGAAAACTGGAAATCCACATGTAACAAAATGAAATTAACCTCTTTCTCTCCCCCTGCATAAAAATCAACTCAAAGTGAATCAAAGACTTAGGCACTACAACAGAGAACCTACACGTAATAGAAGAAAAAGTAAGCTCAAATCGTCATCATGTTGGCTTAGGATCTGACTTCCTTAAAAAGACTCCTAAAACATGAGAAGTAAAATTAAGAATCAAGAATTGGGACAAATTCAAACTAAAAAGTTTGTTCTCAGGAAAGGAAAAATCAATGACGTAAGGAGAGCCTCCAGTATAGTAGAATTTCTTCATCAAACACACCTCAGATAAAACACTAACCTACAGGCTATTTAAATAACTCAAAAACAGAACAGACACTTCACAGAAGAAGAAAAACAATTAGTCAATAAACATATAAAAATTGTTCATAATCTCTAACAATTAGAGAAA